GAGGTGACATACATTTACCATGTGACCTCGTCTAATCTTCTGGTAACTTCATTCAAGAAGTAAAGTAGATTAGTAAACGACGATCTACTTTTGAGAAACCCATGTTGAGTTGGACACGGCACAGAATGCTGCGTTAGGTGCTGGTATACATGTGTGCGAACAACTTTTTCTAACACCTTACACAAAATACTACTTAAACTGACAGGCCTCTAGTTACCTAACTCTGATCGGGCTCCCCTTATGCATTGCCACCACTGCTTCTACCCTCCAGCCCCTCGGTAGAACGCCCTGGTCTAGTGAAGCTTTGTATAGCTTGAACACCGCGATAAAGCGGAAACTGCTTAACTTCTTCAAAAGCGTTTATAGGACTCCAGTCAACTTGGATATCCCAGGTTTAGCAAGATCACCTGATACATCAGAGTTTTTCGAAATTGCCATCTGTGAAACAGATGTACATCGAGGACACCAGACGCTGAACAAGCACAAGTCAGCAGGTGAGAATGAAATCCACCCAGCCATAGTGCAGCAGCTGGTCGCGTTGCTGGCGGGGCTTCTGACTGTACTTCTTAGGGAATCAGTGCAAACTGATACGCTACCCCAGGTCTGGCGTACAGCTACCGTAGTACCATTGCACACGGCTGAACCGGGACACAAAGCAGAAAACTATAGACCCGCTAGACAAACGTCACTGCTGTGTAAGTGCCTGGAGCGACTGATCAGAAGGAAGATTTGCTGACATGTGACTAGCAATTGACTTCTGTCGCTGGCACAACATGGCTTCGTGCAACGGAAATCATGCCTTACGAATCCACTTGTGTTCCTAAATGAAGTCACTCAACCTATGGATGAGGAGAAAAATGTAGAAGTCTGCAACTGAGACTTCTGCAAAGAATTTCAATTTGTCACCCGTCAATTGTTGAACTTAAAAATCAGAGACTAGACATGATTTGAAGAGCAAGGGACTGGATTTTAGCCTTTATGAGTAACCGCGCATTCTGGATCAGGGGTCAGCTGAAGCTTATGTTGCCTTTTTGATTCTCGTATTAGCCTAACCGCCCCATTTCTACACTTTCTATATCGAATTCACGCTTGTCGGTTTCCAAAACCTCTAAAGCTCTTCCAGTGCCTATTTCGTTGTTTGATGGCCCTGGCTATGACTGCCCTCCATCACAACGGCTTATCGCTGTGTCGACTGGGTTTCAACGGAGCAAGTTCGTTTGCAGATCCACGAGTGCCTCCCTAATTTACATCCAGTGGTCTTCTACTAGCCCCTTTCAGAGTATCCCCTACCAACTTAGATGCCCTAAATCTGAGACTTCCTAAATTCATAAAGCCAAAAGTTCTTATTAGCTTGGATGGTGCCCTACCTTGTCGTACACACACTTTGATTGATATGATGACGTGGTCGCTTCTACCAAGAAAAGGGGTGCGACTGTAGCGCCATGATTTCATTCTTGTGTGTAGTGATCACGAGATCTAGTAGCGACGGAGAATTACCGGATCTGAATCTAGTGCTTTCCTTAACATGTTGTCACAGGGCATTTTCGTGC